GACCCCTCAAGGAGCCCTCTGATGGGCCAGGTGCCATGCTGGGCTCTGGAGTGCAACGGTGAATATGCCGTGGCCAGCACCAGGGTGCTCATGTCTGAGGAGGAGCAAAAGGGCCTGTAGTTTCCGCAGCGTGAGGAGGGAAGTGGGGTTCAGTCCAGCAGGGCCTCATCCAGCTGGGAGATGCCTTGTGAGGGAGGCCAGAGGGTCCATGGGACAAAGGGCCTTACTGAACACCAGGGGCAGGGCTTCATCCCAAGGGTGAAGGTGGCTCTAGCTGCCCTGAAGGGATGAACAGGCAGAGCCTATTTGCAGGGGAGATAGGAGGGTGATCTGAACAAAGCCTGGGGGCTGGTTTCGAGCACATATTGCCAGTCAGACAGTGCCCAGTCCCCACAGCAAACCTGAGGGCAGCATTACCTCCCACATGGCAGATGAAAAAGCCAAGGCTGGGGCCTGGGGCTGGGGCTCAGTCGCAGAGTGCTCGCCTGGCACGTGTGGGGCACTGGGTTCCATCCTCAGCACCACATAAAAATAAACAAAGGTATTGTGTTCATCTACAACTAAAAATAAATATATTAAAAAAAAAAAAGCCTGCTCAGGACCACCCAGTTAATACATCATAAGCGTGAAGCCCAGGTACGTGTGACTAAAGTTGTACACAACTAGCATGTGTGCACAGAGGTGCCAGGAATGGGTTTCAGCCAGGATGCAGGGGCAGCTCTCTAGCTAGTGTCTCCTGGGCTGATGGCACCAGCTGCTGCTCTGGTGCAGGAAGAGATGAAAAGCAGAGGTGGGGGAGGGTGGCCAGAGCCTCACGGTGCCTTCTGTCCCTTGCACCCTGCAGGTAGCCGCCCCTTCCAGCTCCCCACTCGCTCCCACAGCAAGCACTTTTGGGCTGGAACAAGTGCTCTCTTCACTGCCCGCACTTCTGACTGCCCTAGGAAATAGCTAGGCCCAGTTTCTTTTCCCTTATCTCACAACACATAGACAAACTCCAGAACCAAATAATTAACATACAGAAGTGGATCCTAGGGTAAGTTCACAAACAAGGAACATCTGTCATGTCCCTCTCTGTCTGTGGGCCACCATGGTAGTGACTGTACCTGGCCTGCCGGGGCGGGAACAGCTCTCCCACATTGTCAGCGTCTGCTTCTCCCTGTTCTTTCTCATGTGTTCTGACACTTGCACACTCTGGAGTTTTGGGTCACATACATCCTGCTAGCTTCCATATCAAACTCCCAGGCTCCCCAACTGGATATGCCAAGTGGACCTGGCCTAAGGCTGGATGGGCTCCTGTAACCTTTGATGTTTCTTCTCCAGATACCTGGCAGTCAGATGACAACATTGTCAGCCGTCTGAACATCCAGCACCGGCGCTTATCATCTGGCAGCCTGGAGGACCCCGAGAACAGAGCCTGCGTTTGGGGTCCTTTGGCTGTCTGAGAGCACCTGCCTGGTACCTGGGCACCCCTGTCCTTGCATTCCATCCGTCCTCACTGGACCACTGGCCTCCCAGGCTTGCACGTCAGTGTGGACTTTTATACTCACATGAAAGCTGGATGTGGAGTTCAGGCCACTCCTCCTTCCACTACTTGTCTCCTGTAACCATGATCCTTCCTCTCACAAGGGACAGGAAGCCCTTCTTACTCAGTGAGCTGATGCCACTCAGTGAACTGCAGAACTGCAGCTCCAACTCATGAGACCCTTTGTAGAGACTGGACTGCATCTGCTATACCTGATCAGCAGGTGGAGCCGAGAGCCTGGGGCTAGTGGTTCTGCATTTCTTTCCTTTCAGGGGTAGATCAAGCCGACTTAGTTTGGGCAGCTTTTGTTACCAACACCCATCTGGTAGTTTCTAGTCTCTGGCACCTCATAACCAATGGTGGTCAGGGGAGGCCATCTTGCATTGTATGTGGTTTTCATCACAAAGCATTAGGAGCTCCTTTCTCAAGGACAAGGAAGATGGTGGCATCCAGAGGCTGGTTAAAAAACCAGGTCTTCCTTCTGGTAGCAGAGTTGTCTCCTGCACCTCATGTGCCTGTCTGCTTCAGAAGGGGCCCTGAATCTGAGAGCCTCGTTATGATGATCACCCTTCAAGAGGCCTTCTGATCAGGTGCAGCAGGAAAGGCCTAGGACTCCACCAGAGGTGACATTTCAAGAAGCGTGTCTCTGGACCACCTCTATATGCACAGTGCTAGAACTGTCTTTACCTTATTTCATCTTCACTATAGCCGTGTGACTGGGGAATCTTACGCCTCTTGCCCCCGTCTCCACCCCCTTTTTTAATAGTTGAAAAAATAGGCTGAGATATGGACCAGTGGTTCTCAAACTGGTGCCCAGGATCACCAAAGGAAATGGTGGAGAGCTTTGAGCTAAGACCAGGCAGTGGCCTGGGAGCCAATGTTGGGGCTTTCACGTCCAGGACCCTCCCCATCCTGTGTGTTTTCCTCTGCTGTCTAGATTTCTGAGCATGATAGGTGAAGGGGAGGTAGAGCCTCCACAAGCTTATTGGCCATTTAGAGATACTATTCTAATCAGCACATAAACAAAGCCTGCCAGTGAGGCTGGCCCAGAAGCCGTTGAGTGACACACCTTTCTCATCTCAGTGATTCTCGAACAGATGTCTGGATGCCTTGTCCACTGGTTTTTGGAAAAGGGGATTGTTTGGGAAACACAAATATTTGTGAGGATGAGATGTGGGAGAGCCTTAGGCTGGGCCCACTGGCATGGGTTGTCTTTTAGGATTTGCAGTTATCCTAAAAGAGCTTTCCCAAAAGAAAAAAAGAAATCCCAGTGCCCAGCAGGTCCTTTGCACCTTCTGTCTGGCTGCAGAGAGTGTGGCCCCTTCTGTACTTAAAATTTAAGCCAATTTATGTTGAGCAATAAGTCCACTTTCAGATTTCCTTGAAGTATGACTAGGCAACAGGGTGCTTCCCTTGGGAGGCGGGGGACACAAAGCCCCCTCCTCTTGCCAGCAGAAGTTGCAATGTGGAGTGAACTGGAATGATTAGGCAAATAACTGAGATGCAAGAGATTCAGGTAAACAGTGGCCAATGGAAGCCATTTTTGGCAGCCCTTCCCAGAGTGTCTGTCCCTCACAGCAAGCACTGGGTCCTCTCCCAGGAAGACCTAGTTCCACACAGAGACAACCACAGGCTAGAGTGCCCTTTACTCTTTGTTGCTCAGTTCCTGTTTCCTCCCCACCCCCAACTTTGTTCTCATATTTTGGCAAGCAGAAACAGCCCAACTAAAGGAGTAGGCCTCAGTTGGCCTGATCAGGGACAGGTAGCTGCCACCCTCCTCCCCTAATCATCTGGAGTCACCTTATCAGCATTTGCCCAGAGAGTGGAATAGGGCCTGGCTTCTCCCTGAAGGCACACACTAATTTAGGTCTGCATTCTCCCATGCTCTGAGGTGCTTTGGTGATCCTGGTTTCCTCACAGAGCTTTTTTGCCGTCTACTCAATTCCATCCCACCAGTTTATACCCCCACTGGGGCAACTCCTGGGCACGGACCCAAACACTACGCTGTCTCACCACCTGTAGGCATTCCAGTTGTTCACTTTGCTTTAGGGCCTGCACACCTGGTGTGTGTGTGTGTGTGTGTGTGTGTGATGCTGTTGGTGCCATCTGTGTACCCCCCTCACTCTGGAGTACACTTGTGGGCACACTTCAGTGGGGACATCAAGAATGCAATATTTATGGATTGCTGCATGATTTTAAACATGAATAAAACTGTTTACAAGGGGAGGAGAGCTGTTGTCTACCAAGTAGTTTCGTTTGCCAGTGGTGGGTCTGAGTTCCTCAGGTACTCTTTAATGTTTATTGGAGAGGATCTGGAAGTAGAGAGGGGCAGGGGAGGCATGCTGCTGGGTGGGAGCCCACTGTCTAGCTTTCTGCGTGGCCTTCTGGGCACCAAGCCTTCAGCCCCCATCTCTGTACTCCTAGGTAGAGCTGCTTTAAACCGGAGAACTCCCAACACTGCAGCTCCTCAATAATTAAAGAGTAGGAAAGCTGGTGACAGGAGGGAGGTCAGGGGGAGGGAAGAGGGAGTGCTAATCCCCAGTGTCTCCTAGTCTTGGTTCCTATCACTTAAATGGTGAATATAACTGGGCAAATGACCCCACTAGGAGAATTTGGCAAGTTGGTGACTTTTACCCACTGGCTTTCTGCTGCCATCAGGGAGGGAGGGCACCTTTGCAGGTGCCTCTGGAATGTGGGGGCTTTCGGGAGCCTTGCTGAGGATCTGAGACGGAGGAAGCTGCTTACCCGGAGACAATGGATTACCCTACCGCCTTGGTGTCTGCGAGCGGTGTGGAGGTTTTGAGAATATGAGCGGCAGGTGGCATCAGAGAGTCAGACCTGCTGTGGGCACCAGAGAGGACACTCAGGGTCGAGAGCGAGGGAAAGGCCGCAGAAACCTGAGAAAGTGCCACTCGCGGCCCAGAGGGGAGGAAAGAAAACCCCAAGGATACGGTTCCCGAGCCTGAGCCTGCTCCCTGCCTTGGCCCCTGGAACCCCGGGCTCGGTCCCAGGGCCATCAACGCCTCGTAGCAGCCCAGACTCGACGGGTACGGGGACGAAGGCGGTTCCCGGGGCCTCGGGCAGGAGCCGCGCGCCATTCTGTTCCCAGCGCGGGGCCCTCGGGCGGGAATGCGCCGATCTCGGACGCGGTGGCGGGTAGGGGGCTGGGTGGCGCGGGAGAGGGCGGCAAAGGAGCGAGTTCCGAGAGAGTTGCCGCCAGAGAGAGTAGCAAGGGCCCGCGGTCTCCTTGGTGACGTGTTGGCCAATGGGAGTGGCGGAAGCTGTTTATAGGGGCGGAGCGTCGCCATGGCAGCAGGAGAAGCCTTTGGAGCGGCTACTTAATGCCGGTCCCGGGGCCGCTGGCGCTCAGAGAAGCGCCGTCGGGCGGGGTGGGGGGCGACGAGAAGCTCTGTTGGGGCCCTCGAGCTGGGGCAGAGAGCCGCGGGGGGTGGGAGGAACTTCTTCCAGAACCTTCCTCTGGCCCGGGCTGCGCTCTGAGCCAGGTAAGGGATAGGAAAGCTGTGGGCCACGGAAGGGCGGGCATCGGTACCAGTCGGGTCCCCCATCAATACCCGGCGGGAGTGGGCTCAGAGACTGACACCTGAGGAGTTTCGGAGAACTCGCTTTCCGCCCCCTCCCCCCTTAACTTTGTCCCCTTCCCGTGACCCCTCATCCTAATATCTCTTTTCAAGGACCAGCCCTGTCCCCACCCTGTCGTACTGCCCTCCAAGACTTTTCGACCCCGTTTCCATTTGTTTAGAGGGGAGGGGTCCTGATTTCCCGCTCTTCTGGAGAAAGGGATACCCTACCATCTTCGCTCTTCTCTCGGCTGCCCTACCCTCTTTCCTCGCGTGGCCAGTAAAACCTCGAGGAGAAACAGGGAGAGCCAGGCAGAGCCGTGGGGGTCGGAGCCAGGGCCCTACGGGAGCTTCCCGGCCGCCTCCCCCTTGCACACACCCTCTCCCCTCCGCGACGGGGGAAGAGTGCTCAGCTCCCGCTGTGGTCCCGCAGGCACCGCGTTCGTTTTGGGAGGAGAGACTCCCGGGTCGCGGGATGGAAGTTCACGTTCAGGAAGCTGTGTAACCGGAGCCGCGGGAGCCAGAGAGCAGAGAGCGCGGCAAGTCACTCAGCTCAGCCGGTGGATGTTGACCGCCCCCTCGGAGAGTCCCAGCAGATATGGCGGAGAGCTGGCTGCGCCTCTCGGGAGCAGGGCCGGTGGAGGAAGCCGGGCCGGAGGGCTGCCTGGAGGAGCCGGACGCCCTGGATGACAGCCTGACCAGCCTGCAGTGGCTGCAGGAATTCTCCATTCTCAACGCCAAGGCTCCTTCTCTCCCCCCTGGGGGTACGGACCCCCATGGCTACCACCAGGTGCCAGGCTCAACGGCGCCGGGGTCCCCGATGGCGGCTGACCCCGCCTGCCTGGGGCAGCCGCACACGCCAGGCAAGCCCACGTCGTCGTGCACGTCGCGGAGCGCGCCCCCGGGGCTGCAGGCCCCGCCCCCCGACGACGTGGATTATGCCACCAACCCGCACGTGAAGCCTCCCTACTCCTATGCCACGCTCATCTGTATGGCCATGCAGGCCAGCAAGGCCACCAAGATCACCCTGTCGGCCATCTACAAGTGGATCACGGACAACTTCTGCTATTTCCGCCACGCTGATCCCACCTGGCAGGTAGGGGAGGCGCGGGCAGCATCTGCCCGCTCCCCAATCCCTCCTCCCCACACCTCACAGGACTCATCCCAGATCTGCAAGGCCAAGTAGGCACGGTGCAGCCAGGGCCTCCATGGGAGGGTGGCCTCTGAGGTCCTCGAAGGAGCCCAGTTCTTGGAACTCACCGCCTTTGACTTCCAGAGAGGGAACAGGGACAATATCCTGAGGGCAGATGGCTTTAGCATGAAGACCATTGAGGTTAAAGGGGGAGGAATTTTTTCATCCTGCAGGCTCAGCCCCAAAACCAGGGCAGAGTCTCCTGGGGAGGGTGATGGGCTGAGGGCACATTCTTGTCCCAAGTCCTAGAATTCCTAGACACTGTCCTGCCCAAGGATGGTTTGTCAGAGCTAGACTCAGAAATGGAAAGGAGGTGGCCTCCTAGTCAGGCTCTGCATCCTGCCTTTTTGCAGTTGGTTTGGGGAGGATACTAGTGGGAAGGGTTGGGGGTGTAAAGATCAGCTGCCTCAGCAGAGGGGGTCTGGGCCTTCATAAAGCTGCTGCCCAGCCCCCACTTTAACCCCTCCCCAGTTTCCTGCCTCTACTCCCCCTCTTCTCGCCAGCCTCCCTGGGGAGACAATTACCTGAGCCAGGTGGTTTCCACAGGGGCTCTGCCTGCTGCACTGGCTTGTGTTCCAAGTCTCCAGAACCTGACACAGAGCAGCCAAGAGGCCCAGGCCACCATGTAAACATCCCAATCTTGGGGGGCACTATCCACCCATCTGCCTGCTGTAAGGGTCTAGACCCCCATACTCCAGCATGGGTAGGACAAAACTAGGCAGCCAAGAATGGACAAGGCAGGAGAACCATGGGTTTGAGGCTGAGTAGACATCGCTCCGAGGGTCTTCAACCGTCAGGATCCAGGGCTAGTTGGAGACAGAAACCTAAGGATGCCCACCCTTCCCTGGGGCACCCAAAAGGGCCAGGCCACAGAAACACAGTCCCCAGCCACTCATGCCCTCACAGAAGATCTACCCTAGGCCTGTGCAGCTCAAGCCCCCAGCTCAAACCCTATGCTCCTGGCTGGATAATAATCAACTGAGCTTGGATGGGAAGAGACGGCTGTGGGGGGTGAAGGACCAGGCCAGCAGCCTACTCAACAAACAAGGAAAGTCACCAGATCCGCCCCCTCCAACACACACACACACACACACACACACATACCATCCTTGTACACCCAGCCCCCTCCCTTGATCCACTCACTCACTTCACTGGGAGGACTGGCCAGGCCAGGCAGGGGGATATGGCAGTCCAGGCCCTGGGAGAGCCAGGGGCTTTGGCCAGGGGCCGCAAGCACCAGGGTAAGGGAGGGAGGGCAGGCGACGGGGGTGGCACTGAGAGCCACCCTGCGGCTCAGAGCTCGGATGACTGAGCAGGCAGATATCCCAGCAACAGAGAACAAAAGCCCCCGACAGCACTCCAGGCTCCCAGTGCCCTGTGGCTGGTGTCCCAGAGCTGCAACCGCCTGGTCAGAGCAGTAGGTCTGTCCTCCCTTCCCCCATCACAGAGAAGATGGGGGGAGTGTGCAGGAGCACTGGGCGCCACTCCATCACCACTGTCCCCATTGACTCAGTGGTTCCTTCCCTTGTTCTCTCCCTGTGCCTAGAATTCCATCCGCCACAACCTGTCGCTGAACAAGTGCTTCATCAAAGTGCCTCGGGAGAAGGATGAGCCAGGCAAGGGGGGCTTCTGGCGCATCGACCCCCAGTACGCTGAGCGCTTGCTGAGCGGGGCCTTCAAGAAGCGGCGGCTGCCCTCAGTCCACATCCACCCGGCTTTTGCCCGCCAAGCTGCGCAGGAGCCCAGCACCGCCCCCTGGGCTGGCCCGCTGACCGTGAACACCGAGGCCCAGCAGCTGTTGCGGGAGTTTGAGGAGGCCACAGGGGAGGTGGGCTGGGGAGCGGGCGAGGGCAGGCTTGGGCATAAACGCAAGCAGCCGCTGCCCAAGCGGGTGGCCAAAGTCCTGCGGCCCCCAAGCACCCTGCTGCTGACCCAGGAAGAGCAGGGAGAGCTGGAACCTCTTAAAGGCAACTTTGACTGGGAGGCCATCTTCGAGGCTGGCACTCTGGGCGGGGAGCTGAGCACCCTGGAGGCCCTGGAGCTAAGCCCACCACTGAGCCCCACCTTGCATGGGGATGTAGACCTCACCGTCCATGGCCACCACATTGACTGCCCTACTACCTGGGGTCCTCCAGCGGAGCAGGCTACCGACAGCCTGGACTTCGATGAGACCTTCCTGGCCACATCCTTTCTGCAGCACCCCTGGGACGAGAGCGGCAGTGGCTGCCTGCCCCCAGAGCCCCTATTCGAGGCAGGGGATGCCACCCTGTCCGCTGACCTGCAGGACTGGGCCAGCGTGGGTGCCTTCTTGTAAGAGGCGAGGCCCCACCCCACCTCCGGACAGTGCCCAGGTCAGGGCCCAGAACTGCCCCCAAACACGGCCCGTGAACACCCCACCGCCCAGGCAGGGGCTGGGCCACTTTTCCCTAGGCTGGCTGCACGAGGCCATCTGCCACCAGCCCAGGATGTCCTCAGATTCAAGCCCAGGAGGCTGAGAACTGGGGGCCCAGGACCAGAATTGCCGCCTCCACTCAGCCCCCCTCTACACAGTGTTTCATTAATCCGCGACTCCCCACCCCAGGAACTGGGCCTGGAGGGGCCTGGCAAGGCTGGGGAGGAACAGAATAGGGCCCTCCCCAGAGCTCTTCCACTTCACCCCTCTCCCGACTCCCTCCCGCTTCCCCAGGTCTCTATCCAGAGAAAGTTCCCAGGTACAACAAATGCTAATTAGGTGACAGCAAATTAACCCCCTGGGGACCTCTCTCCACAGAGCCTCCCTGGGGCCAGGGCAGCGGGGGCTGGGGTGGAGTGTGGCAGGGGATGGACTGGGGGAGGGGGCCGAGAGGAGGCAGAAATGAGGTGGGGGCACAAGGTCGGGCAAGGAGATGCTCTCTAAGGCCTCTGGGTCTTCACTTGACCCCATCCTTAGGGGTAGGACGAAGGATGTCAATCCCTAATCTTTGGGCCTGACTTGAGGCTAAGAGCAGCAGGAAGTTGAGGTTTGGGGAGTTAGGGCCGGCAGCCAAGCTGCAGGGAGGACAGGCAGACTAATGTAGTGAGTAGCTGTAGCTAAGACTTAACTGGGAGGGACTGAGCTTGCTGGGACCACTGGGACCAGGAAGGGGGCAGCCCCATGCCCCTGCCCTCACTCGGGGTTGGGGTCTTGCTCCACCCTGATCCCCAGGGCTACATCCAGCATCCGCCCTCCGCATGGGGCAATTTAACCTTTTTCATGGAAAGTTATTTACAATAAAAATTTTTTAAACTAAATTTTTAAAAAATCTGAACAAGGATGTCTACACAGCTTTCTTTGGGAAAGACGCGGGCCAGGTGGTTTGTGGGGAGGGGCTGCCTGAGGAGGAGTGACTGGAAGAAAGATGGGGATCAGCGAGAGCCTGCAGAGGGACCCCCCCCATCCAACTCCCCACGACCTCAGTGTCCCTTGGGAGGAAAGGACCAAGAAGCGGCTCTCAGGAGTCCCCTGCAGCCTGGGCCTCAGCGCCTCCATCTGCGCAATGGGGAGAACTGTGCCCAGAGCCCCAGGGGAGCAGGAGACAAAGGGAGGAGGTTTGCCTCCCCACTGGGCCCCAGGGACTCACGCTATCCCCCACCACAAGGGCCTGCCTGGGCTCGCCTGCCTGCCTGTCAAGAGTCAGCAGCCATGGCCTGGGCGTGCGTCCAGCACCTCCCTTGCTAGGTCCTCTCCTGGAGGGATGGGGTGTGAGGTCTGAGGGCCCCAGTTTCCCACTCTGGGTCACCTGACCTGACCCAGTGCCAGTTTGGGGAGGAAGAAGGCCACTAGGGAATGGGCATAGGGTGCTCTGACCCTCTGCCCTCAGTCACACCATCAGGTCCACTCTATGAGGGACCAGGTTACTAGAGTCCTGATGGGGAAACTGAGGCACGGTACCTGTCTCTAGGTGACAGCCGGCACCATTCGATCCCCTCACCCTAGTTTTGTCTGTTACCCACCTCCCTACCCAATCCCCACCCAACCCCACATACATGCCTCTCTGGTGTGCAGCCATCCCCGGTCCCATACACACACACACACACACACACACACACACACAGAGCAAAAAATGGGCACTGTCCTGAGCAATCCTGCCCAGCCTCCATGGACTGCTTTCTCCCCGGTCCCTTTCTTGCTCTGTCCTGAGTTGGGCTGTAGGCCAGCCTGGCACTCCTCAGTCTAACTTGCTGCTTTCACTTGCTAATTATTCCAAATATTTCAGAAGGTCACACACACTGCAGGACAGGCAGGGTTGGGGCCTTACTGAGCCCAGAAGTCAGTCCCTGTCTCCTTTACACAGAGAGGGCTGCCCCAGCAGGGCCTCCACTCCAACAGCTCCTTCTCCCTCCCCACCACCCAACACACCCCTACCTTTCCGGGGACCACGGCATTAAGAGAACAAGAAGAAGGGGAGTCCAGCCTCTTCACTAACACCCAGGATCAGCCTCCAGCCCTGGCCAAGGTGGGTACACCATGGATTGATAGCGGGCGAGTCACTGCCTGCCCTAGCCCATGCTGGGAGGAAGGGGGGCAACGTCAGGGTCACCAGAACCTGGTTGTGCACAGGGCCATAGAGGCAGTGTGAGGCGTGCCCCTGGCTGCACTTGCCCAAGCTGCATGTGGACCAACCAGAGTAAAATCTCTGGAATGGGGCCCCAGCTTCTGCATTTTTAAAGTCCCCAGACACTTCCAATGTGCAGCCAAACCTGCGAGGGGGCTCTGGAGGGGGCTTGCAGGCAGCGTCAGTGGTAGGGAAAGCCCCATCTTTACACGCCTCTTCATTCCCACCTGCCCCTTAGCAGGGTGGCTTTAAAAAAAAAAAAAAACGTTCATTTACCTCCTATTTATTTATAGATTCAGTGTAATCTCTACCAAATTATATTTTGTACCATTCAACAGCAAGTTGCAAACATGACACCCTCTTATCACTAAATACTTCAGTGTGCATTTCCATAAAACAGGGACATGTCAGGCTGGGGTTGTGGCTCAGCGGTAGAGTGCTCGCCTAGCACGTGTGAAGCACTGAGTTCGATCCTCAGCACCACATAAAAATAAATAAAAGTAAAGGTATTGTGTCCATCTACAAATAAAAAAAAAAAAAAAATAGAAAAAAAAAAAAAAAACCAGGGACATGTCTACATAGCCATCAAAATCAGAATTGATGATCTCATCCAAGGCACAGAATCTATCCAAATTCTGCAGGCTGTCCCCCAAAAGCTCCTCTCTGCACCAGCATTGCGATCTAAATCACATGATACCTTTGCTGTTCTACCTCATTTAAGCTGTGTGGCTTTAAGCTTCTGACTCAAGTTCTCTGAGCCGGTTTCATTCCAGGATGCAAACCCCTTTTGCAGTAGTGACCAGTGCCTGAGGCATTCATTCTTTTTCCTAAGGGAATGAGCCACTCTTCAGTCCCCAGTGTCCTGCCTTTTCCCTCTAACCCCTCTCCTATCTGCCCCCCAGCCCAGCCAGAAAAACTGGTTCCAGAAAGGGAGGAGAAAGGACAGCAACTGAACTTTGGAGGCTTCCTCCTCCCTTCCCAGGACACTTCCAGTTCCATAGGACAGGCCACCCAGGGGGTATGGAAGTCCCCTGGGGATCCCCCTGGTCCCATACTTTATCCTGCTTTCCTGGAACAAACTGGCCAGGCCCCCTGCAGAGCTGAGCTAGACCTGGAGAAGGAATTGTTCCCACCCCCAGCCCCTGGCACAGACAACCCATACCTGGGGCCCAGACCACTGAGGACAACAAGGGGGAGCTGGAGGGCAGGCAGAAAAGGAGGGGGTGCTAGGAGTCACTGCTGCTCCGTCCTGGGCTCAGGCCCAAAGGTAAACAGGTGTATTTGGACTCCAGCAGGGGCAGCGGGCTGGCCCCAGGGGCAGGTCTGGGCCTGTCAGGGTGGGGAGTAGGGTGTTGTTAACAATGGGGTGGGCCAGCGGCCCAGGTCCTGCTGACACATTCTTGTATGTGGAGGAGGAAGCAAACACAGGTGACAAGGGAAGGGAGGACCTAGGCAGAGGAGGGGGCTTTATGAGGCCACCCATGCAGGGCCCAGGGCCAGGCTGACCGGTGTGAGCTGCAGGGTAGGGAGTGAAGCGCACCGGAGCCCACAGGTTGCCTTCCTCCCCCTCCCCGTTGTGTCCACGCCTCTCTGTTGCGTCCAAGTGGTGTGGGTCACAGCCACCTCAAAGGGTGGACATGTTGGGGCCTGAACTTTCCCTGTATGGGACCAGCTGGAAGGACACTGTCCCCCAGAAGCCAGGCAAGGAAAGGTGGGGATGTACAGTAAGCAAAGGGGGATGCCAGGCCCCAGGTCTCTCTGCTGGCCCCTTCAGCTCCCCTGCAGCCCTCAACTGCTGGCCCCGGGCCCCACCCCCACCATAATACCCTCTTTTGAGGGTAGGACTAGAGGCCCAGCCCTCTTCCCCCTAGAAGGAAGCAGCTTAGCTGAGCCCTCAGGAAGCAAGAATACCAGGAACTGGACAGGGTTGTGGCCTGCACACCCCCATCAGCTCACCTCCTCCACCACGGCCCACCCCCACCTGGCCTTTTGAAGCTGAGCCTGGGTGGCCCTCTGCTGTTTGCCCAGGGGATTAAGCTGAAGCTGGGAAGTGGCCAGCTGTTCTCAGTCAGTGGCCCTATCCCCACAGGCCGTCCGCCCCCCTCCTCCCTCACTCAGGCAACTTGCCCCAAGTGAACTGTGCCTGAGTTGGGCAGTGGTGAGCAGGGAGGGTAGAGCAGACACAGCCCCTATAGGTCCACAGACCCCTGTGGGCAGACAACCTGGCGGTCTTGCTCCTTCCTACAAGTGGAGCCTCCAACAGCGGCCAATGTGTTGAGTGTTTAATGAACAAATGAATGAACGTGCTGACTGGCAGGTCAATCTCTCTCTCTCTCTCTCTCTCTCTGTCTCTCTCTCTCTCTCTCTCACACACACACACACACACACACACACACACACACACACACACGGAAGTGGAAGTGGCCTGGGCAAAATGCTCGACCTAGTCAACATCAAGAGGTTCTCAGGACACTGGGCTGGGGACATTCCTGAAGCCCCTGGAGTCTGTGGTTCTTCCCATGGGTGGGCAGAGGCTGGGGAGAGGGCATTCCAGCCCAGGGAGAACTCCGAGGCAAGCCCCATGCTGCTTTGTGGAAGCAAGGACTGGCCACTGCTTGGCCCTGTGTGTTTGGGTGGCTCACCTGTGGAAAAGGCAGTTGGTGCCCTGAATGCCACCTGAGGCTGCCTGGGATTTTGCAGGAAAGGAGCCAGAGATGGGATACTGGGCAAGAAGGAACCCAGAGAGGGAGGCGGGAGGCAGAGAGGCAAGGAGACCTTCATTCTCATCTGCTCCTCTGGCCTCAGTCCCCCTGGGCTAGTCCCAGGTGTCCCAGGAATGAGAAACACAGAGAGCCAAGAAGCAGGGCTGGTGTGGAGAAACTGGCACTCGAGTCCCCTCCTCTTCTTTTATTATTCCATCCAAACCCACAGAGTCAGCAAATGAGCCTTTTACCTATTTGTACGCTGACCACAAGGTCTCCAGAGTGGAGCCGTGCCCAGCTCAGCTATCCTTACCAGGCCCCACTCCACTGTGCACCAGGACAGGACAGGGCCCTGAGATTGCTGAGCCCGGTACTTCAGACCCCTGGCAGCCCAGGTTCATGTGGCCAGTGTCCAACACCAAGGGCGGGGGGTGGACTCAGGGGGAGCCCGAGAGCGCCAAGGCCTGGTATTTAGTTAAAGATTAACCCTGGCTTCCTGGAGACTTCCCTGTC